CTCTGCTGAAGCTTTGACATCCAAAAGACTTGAATCCATCTAGAGAATAGAATCAGATCAGTCCCGAGGAAAGACAGCCCCAGAGGTCAGAGAGGGATAAGACGCTTTGTTAGAAACCACTCAGTCAATGATGACAGAGAATTCCATCACCACTTCTCCTCTCCACACTCCTTTCTCTGGTCTGACCAAATGAAAAGAGCAAGAATGAGTCTTGTTAAATTATGATCCTGACTCACACACAGTCTCCCCATATCTACAGCTCCAGGGTAGTTGGAGTCTGAGCAAAAACCCACTTCAAGGATGCCCTGCTCAGTCTATGACCTAAGAATGGAACTGCCAAACCCTTGGCTTCCGTGTCTCACGACCCATACCCACCTTCATGGAACCATCTTCCAACTGTGCACGGTATAGTCAAATCAACCCAGCAGCCTGGCATTCTTCACACTGGCTGCAATTCCAAAGAGTTGTAAACAACATGTCATAGAGTCCTGCTCCTTGACCCCACCTCTATCTGATCCATCCCAGAATCATATTCTCCTTCTGTCCTTCAGCAATCTGATTTGAGTCTGTCCCAAAGTCTACCTACAACCTTCCCAGAGTCAAACTTCTACCTTAAGAATCATCTAAGACTGTTTAGAGCCGGAGGGAGCCTTGGGAGACCAACTTCTCCAACTCCATCCTGTACAAATGAAAAACTAAAATGCCACAGGTGTGAAGTGACTTGGCAGCGGTCTCACACAGATCCTTGGTAGTGGGTGTGAGGCTAGAATCCAGGTCCTCTAATTCCCAGAGGCACAGGGAGTTTGAATCGCCTTATGAGAAGCATGGAATTATTGCCCAAGACCCTGCCTGGCCTCCACTTCCATGTCTGTGGAGCCCTTTGCAAGTGAAGGACATGGTGTCTGATGACCACGGCACCCATCAAGGATCCTGGTGTGGGAAGGAGATGAGCCTTAGTCGGCTGTTTTATTTTATTTCCTTTCATTTTAAAGCATCAGGCAGCAGATGATTATGGGCGCTGACCTAGATGGCATGCCTATATTGCAGTCAACTCACAAAGAGAAGGTAGGCACATTGAAGGCACGTCTGTGCAAATGGCCTCATTAAGAGCAAAATGGCAAAGGGAGCCTAGAACGACTTGGTTCTATCTTGCAACAATTGTGTGATTAATTCAGGTCACTCCCTGTGCTCTTTTCAGACATTCAAACCACTCATTGTCTGCAGCCTTTACTCAGGCCCCGCAGCAACAGAAATCCACGCTCACCTCATCTCCGAGTCTGCTGGAAGAGTCGTGTGCTGTGTCTGGCAGGCTGTTGCTGAGTGAAATGAGCACTGGGCTGAGAGCCCAGGACACCTGGGTTTATTTGTCACTCACTGAGTGACCTTGAGCAAGTGGTTCACATCTCGCCTTTCATCTGCGTGGGAAGTTGAGCTGAAGGTAGGAAAAGTAACAAAACAAACTCCCTGGGTGCGATCCTATGTAAGGAGTCTGTAACGGGTTGACTGGTAGCATATCACTTGTCTGCTGGCATTTAGGCAGAGTGAGAGTATGGGATGCTCATGGCTCCTGAACACCCCCCGTGTGCCAAGGACTGTGCTGGGGCTGGCACCAGCCCCTGACATAGGTCACGTAAGCCCCAGATGTGGAGACAGGGTTCAGAAATGTGACGTTGCTCACCCAAAGCAACACAGCTAGCGCGCAATGGTGCCTGGATTTAAATATGTTTCCCTGACACACACACACAAAAAGCCTAAATCTTCTTAACATTTTGGGATCACACTGCCTTCAGTAAAACAGGAGCTCACATTACCGAAAGACAGGGTGAGGAGGGTGCTATGCAGAGTTGAGAGAGAAAGAGACATAGGCCCAAGGATACAAATTAAAAATGTCAACGGAGTTGAGAAGTTTCAGTAAATGAGTGACGCGAGGACAGGAAGATAAATGATAGTCTGGTTGCTTGCTCTAAAGAACCACAAAGATTCAAGTCCAGCAAAGGATGGCAATGAAGGAATTCAGGCCCTGGGCTGCCAGATATTTTTTTCCTTTTTTTGAGAGGAGGCTGAAATCCAGCTCTTTATGTAACATCTCCTATTTACATATATGGCACCTAACCTACAAAAACTCTAAACACCATGCAGGCCAAATAATAGAAGCCCGTGCCAACATCCAACCAGTCTGCAAACTCTGGACATTGAGAATAACATCCTCACCATAGGAGTGAGAGAGAATAATATCCTCACCATAATATTTCACTTTGGGACTCCAGTAAGGCCTCTCTTTGGATTCTTTTTTTTTTTTTTTTTAGAGTAAATGAAGTTTCTGGAATATTTAGAGCTAGGGCACTGTGATTAAACCAACCCCACTGAATTGCTAGAGCTCATACCAGCAACTCTCTTCTCTCTTGGGGAACGGGGAGAGCCGTACATAGGCCACACTAACACCAGCAAGAGCACCCTTTTTTTTTTCTAATAAGCAACAAATTATTTGAGGAGACTCAGTTGAGAACTAGTTCTGCCCCTATAGTTAAATCCAATTACACCATAATTACAGGGAGTCTGCACACATCAGAGCTTAGCTGGAAAAGAATAGGAACACCGCAATTCTTCAAAACGTTGGCCAGAGGTAAACCTATAATTTCACCTACTGTTGTCCTGGGGGAACCTTCATGGGAAAGAAGGCACACGTAGCTCCTGGTTTTCAATCCGAGGACAAGCCAGTGAGTGGCTCTTCACCTCTGCGTTGAGTGGCGTTGGCGCTCTTACCAATTCAGAAAAGGCGGGAGTAGGGAGGTGTCTCCCATTCCTTTACAAATGGACAGAAAATAAGGGTGGACTCATATTTCCAAGCACAAATACAGTAAAGCACTAAGCCTGTTGAGAAATAGGAAATTCTCATTTTAAAATCCTTATACTATTCCCTACTTTTAATTTTTGTCTTGAGTAGAGGTAGGAAGGGGGGATGTCCAGATTTTTTAAACATTTAAATCAGAAACTACAAAAAAAAACAAAACACTTTTATATGTATCTGTTATTCATTGCAAAAGAGCCTATGTAATTATCCATTTTCCGTTCTCCCGTGGACCCACGGTGCTCAAGTTGGAGGGGGAAGTTAAATTGTTCCTGTTGGCTACAGTAGGAACAAGAGGCAGAAGAGCTTTACTAAAGCTTAGAAAGTTTGATATGTGCAATATAATAATAACTACAAATTTTTTCTTTTCTTTTTTTTTTTTTTTTGAGACAGAGTCTCACTCTATTACCCAGGCTAGAGTGTGGTGTCAGCCTAGCTCACAGCAACCTCAAACTCCTGGGCTCAAGCAATCCTCCTGCCTCAGCCTCCAGAGCAGCTGGGTCTACACGCATGCACCACCATGCCTAGCTAATATATATTTATTTTAGTTGTCCAGATCATTTGTTTCTATTTTTAGTAGAGATGGGGTCTCTCTCTTGCTCAGGCTAGTCTCGAACTCCTGACCTTGAGCGATCCTCCCGCCTCGGCCTCCCAGAGTGCTAGGATTACAGGCGTGAGCCATCACGCCTGGCTGCCAATTTTTTTCAATAATAATCTTTGGCTAAAAGTCCATGGACACGTCCATTCTCCTGTTGAAATCTTTTCCACTGCATTATAAAAACTCAAGCTTTCGGAAGGGAACACCGAGCATAGTGCCTGCTGGGCTTGTATATTCTCAGGGCTTCCCTGAGAACAGGGTTGATTTTGCAGCAGTCGTATCATGCTGTAATTCCTCCCTAATCCCCATCTCATTTTTGTTACAGTATACGTGACTGAAAGGAAGGGAAGTTTTCGTGAATTCATCAAGCAGGTATTAAACCCTGATGATGTGCAGGGCGTCGTGCTGGGCTCTGCGGGGAAGAGAGAAATGGCTGAGAATCTGAAGACGAAATGGGAAAGGGGGGGAAAGACCCTGGCCTGAGGAGTCACAAAAATCTGTTTCCAAATGGAGAGCTAACTCTTACAGGTGGTGTTATCTCCTACTAGTTATTTACCCTCTATTTGCTCATCTGTAAGAAGTCTGTGCTGTGAGGATTGCAGGAGTGAAATATGAGGAAGAGCCTGGCAGAATAACTGCAGGAGGGGACACTGAGGCATGGTAGTGGACTCTGGCAGCCTCTGCAGGTGGCAGGGAATGCACAACAGCCACCTGCCTGCCACGGAGCAGTGTGGGAGGCAGGGAGGCCTGCAGGAGGAGTGTGGGCAGAGATCAGGAAAGCGCGGGGAGAAGCCTTCAGGATTGTGTAGAGTTTCAGATGAACTTTCTGGGTGGAGGGAAGAGCGTAAGCAAAAGCACAGAGCGAAGAATCATGTGGATTGCGGGTATCTCTGGGGAGCGAAGGTGGCCCTGGGAGAGTGGAGTTTGGGTTGTGGGGCTGGAACCCGAGGCCTGCCAGGGCCCGCGGCAATCCCATGCTGGGTGTCATTGAGGAGCAAAGTGGTGGCCAGCAAGCTTTGGGAAGCCTGAGCATTTCATACTCCATGGAAAACCAGTGGAGGGGGGAGGTGGAGTCATTCGTGCTGGTGACTGTCTTACAACTGGCTCTCAGGAACACCCTGATTTGTTGCATAGTACAAGCATTCCCACCATGGTTGCTTTCAAGCTACCAACATGTTTACTAATCAGATGGCAAGCTATTTCCTGAAATTTTAACAATTGACTCTCACCAGGTATTAGCCAGCTACACTCTGCTTCTTGGCTGTGCTGAGAAAAATTGGAGAATCTCAACCAGGTCCGCAGCACCCAACGCTGAAGCCAGACACCAGCTACACCTGGCAGCTCGTGCATTAAAATTCTGCATTTTAACATTTTGGAATCTCAGATGCGATAAACATTCACAACACAGTTATGGGGGAATGTTCCCACGCGTTATCCAGGCATTGCAACTATGCCCCTTTGACGGAGGAGGAAACAGAGTGTCAGAGTCCACGTGATGGCAAAACTGCACAATTAGCAATGTCTGGAGTCTGGGCTCAAGCCTAAGTCTGTTGTCTCTAAGTCTGTTCTCCCCTCCATCACCCCTGACCCCAGAGGAGTCTCACTGCCCAACACTGTGATCAGTCCAGTTCAGTAAGAATGATGAGAGCCCCTTCCCTGGCTCCTCCCCATTTTAAGTGTCAAATGACACTAAATAGATTTAGGCCAAAGGTCCTCCCGGCCTCCAGAAAGCAAATATCAATGTGAAGGCTGAAGCCAGACCCTCTCTTTAACCAGCCCTACCTCATCCTACCATCTAGCCCAGAGTCCCAAGCCCCAACTCCTGTTGCAGAAAAGGAAGGCAATCTCATCACCTCCAAACAAAAAAATTTGCTCCAGCCCTGCTGCATGTTCCTGCTTATTAGATTGGAGGATCACCCCATTCCGCCACAGTGACAGGGCTCCTCGGCCACTTTATTGCTCTATTGCTCAGAACTGCTGAGCTCAGCACGAAAGCTGGCTTCTCCGGGCCTCGGGCGAGATGGATGAGCCGGCACCCGCCAGCGTGTTCTGAGAGCAGAGCCCCGTGTGTGCTGAGCCCCCAAACGATTCTCCCACTGAAGATCTGGTTCGTAATTGTTTTGTCTAAGGGCTGAGGGTATGAGAAGAGAGGCCCAAACTTGGCTTAGCTCTCCCCTCGAGCAGCTCACCGTGTGTTTGTTAAGAACCTTGCACAGAAACGTTTTGCAACCGTTCCACCCTCCCCTTCTTTTCCTACCTCATCCATTTTGCCCACGTAATCTCCCTTCTTTGACGATTAGGCAAGCCAGGCTAAAACACGCTGGCATTATAATTAACTTGAAACTAGTAGCGCGCACATACGGAGGCATGCATGAACACACATAAACACACACACACACAAACACGTGCACACCAGCCATCCCCTGTGCTGAGCCTGGTGGCCTCACAGCCTGCCTGTCTCCCTTTACCAGCTCAGTGGTCATTTTCTCCCCATTAAAACTTGCCCCTCTCCTCCCAATTTTCCCTCTTTATTTAGCAAACTCTAACTGGCAGCTCATGAAACATACAAAAAACATGGGGAGGCAGCCAAGAGAGACTGCCAAACTTGATTACCTGCGGAGACTCATCTCGCATGAGGAAGAGTTTGGCTTAGGTTTTTTTTTTTTCCTCCTAGGCAAAGTGGACTCCTTCAATCCCCTTGCATCCTTACCTCCAGACCCCCCAGGTGGTAAATCAGCATTTGCCCGGTGACCCATAATGAAGCTTGCATTTTTTTGATCTTTTACTTAGCAAGAAGTCAACCCTACCCGTCCCTGCTCAGCTCTCCCGCCCCAAAGAAGTCTCCACATTGTATTCCCTCCTGTCTCTGGGTGGCACATTTTCTTTTACATCGCAGCATTCAGTGGAGTGGCACCTCCTCGGTGAAGCCCTCCTGAGCTACAGGGCAGGGGTAGAGGCTCCTCCTTCCCAGCTCCTGCAGAGCCACCGCAGGGGCTACACACGTCCCTGTTACAGCATATGTCACCGAGGTGGCTCCCTCACCACAACCACTGGGAGGACTCTGTGTTCAAAGGTACAGCAACTGGCACATAGTAGGCACTCATGAAATAGGACGTGAAAATATGCATTCACAAACGACACATTCTGTATTCCCCACAGGCTTTAATTTTCCAAACTTTTCTAATCCAATTCTCCAAATCATGAGAGTCACAAGTCAAGGACTGAAGGTGCAAACTGTCTCTCTAGCTCAGTGTTTCTGAGCCTCCCTCTTGGTATTTAATAACAGGAGCATCAAAGCCTCTTCTGTTAAGAATGCTACTCCCCCCACCCTCCGTGCTTTCCTAAGGTGGTATTTGGATGTGAATTTATAAAGATGAAAACCCAAACACGCCTTCTCAGTGGAGATGGAAGTCCCCCAGTCCCACAAGGCCTGTAGGCAACTTGGAGAGATGTTTGTGGTGCTTTATAGGTGCTGATAAATGCAGGGACTGGCCAGAGTGTCAGAGCTAAAGACAAAATGACTTTGCTTTCAAGTGCTGCAATGTCCCCTGGGCTCCCGCCTCTGTCTTCAGCAGGGGAGGAGACAGAGGCAAGGTGCTGGGAGGACTGGTTTAGGCCCGGGGAAAGGGGGGCCGGGGAGAGGAGAATGTACACAGAGCAGGCTTCAACCTGCCTGGCTCCCTCTGCGCTCCCCAGAGAACAAGCCCATCTCAGCAAATGGGGACCTCCAACCCCATTTGCAAGATCTATTTGGAAATAGATCTTTCTCTATTTCCCGAGAAATAGAGGGGTGGGAACCCAGCTGTCAGGTCCCCAAGAGCAACAACACATCAGGTGGCAGCTCCTGAAAATCTAGGCTAGGTTCCGATCCATATTGGAGGGGCAAGCAACAAGGCAAGGGAAGGGAGGGGTCCTCAAACCCAGACCCCAAGTCTTCCCAGCAACAGAGGCTCAGACCTTCACTCATTCAACAAATATTTACTGAGCACCTACTGTGTGCCAGGAACTTCTAGGTGCTAGGAATATCGGGCCTTCTTTCCTTTCCAGAAGCTCACCGTCCAGTAAAAGAGAAAGTCTAGAATTCAATAACTGCAATAGGATGTGCTGTAGCAGTATGCACAGATCGCAGAGGGTAGGGGTGCAGGGTAGGGGTGCGGCTTCAGGCAACAGTCCATTTACAGAGGTCTGGCTATTGAAGAACAACCCAAAACCTAACTTTGGGCATGGCACTTAATCTGAGCGAGTCAGCCTTTAGCTCTTGTATCTCTTTAAGATACAATGAAGTGGGAGGGGAGGATGTATTCAAGGTGGGAGGAAGGGGCCTGGACTTGATTTACTGACTTAGGTTTAGGTCTCTGGCCCCACCTGTTCAGACAGGTTTTCTGTACTACCTGGTGGGAGCGTGCACGGTCTGGGGGTAGGAGCTGACCCTGCTTCCTGGTCCTTCTATTTATTTCTTAGGTGGAGGCTTTTTTGCCTCTCTCTCAGGCTGTATCAACTCCAGTATTATCAAGGTTTGTGTATGTCGCCTGCCTGTGTCCTCTATGGCCTGTTTCTAAAAAGGTGCATCTGTGGGGATCTGGAGATACAAAAGGAAATTATTCCTAGTTCTACCCTCTGGGACCACAAATCTCTTCTACATGACCCATCTTTGCGTACTTGAAAGCAGCTATCATTTTCCAACCCCCTACACGCCCCAGTCATCACTTCTCTAGACTGCACCCCCATCTCCTAATACCCTTCTCAACATGACCTATTTCCAAGCCCATGCACCATCTTGCTCACTTTTTTCTCATTTCAGATTTGTATTGACCCCTCCTAAAATGTGAAGCCCACAAATGAATGTAAATACCATAGTCTGATCAGTACAGTGTGTAGTAGGAGTATCACCTCCCTTATTTTCTGTCTCATATTTCTAATAATGCAACCAAAGAGAGAATTTGGTCCTTAGCCATATCACATCACTGAGTCCCATGAAGCTTACTATAAGCTCAAACCCTAACAGGGTTTTTGTTGTTGTTGTTGTTGTTTTTTTCTATTTATTTTGTTCCTAAATCACATCTTCCCTACTTTACATTTGTGCAGTTCTTTTCCGGGTCAAAATGAAGAACCTGGCCAATGGCAGAAGAAATAGTGTGCATACTTCCCAAATCTGTGCCCTAACTAAAAAATATATCAGAGAGGTCCTCCCAGCTCCTCAGTACATGCAGCAGAGCTGGAAACAGGATCAGCAGCAACCTGGTGATGAAGCTCCCATCTGCAGGCAGCCTAAAGGGCACCCCCAGCCAGACACAGAGGCTCACACCTGTAATCCTAGCACTTTGGAGGCTGAGGCAGGAGGATCGCTTGAGGCCAGGAGTTCGAGACCAGCCTGAGCAACATAGCAAGACACCATCACCACAAAACATAGAAAAATTAGCCAGGCATGGTGGCGCACACCTGTAGTCCAAGCTACTTGGGAGGCTGGGGCAGGAGGATTGCCTGAACCCAGGAGTTTGAGGTTGCAGTGAGCTATGATGATGCCACTTTACTCTAGCCTGGGCAACAGAGTCAAACTCTATCTTCAAAAAAAAGGGGTACTTCAGGTGGGCCCCAGTGTCCCCAGCTGCTTCCTGGGGATGCACTGCCTCTCTGCATCAACTGTGCTTCCTGTCTCACCCCTAAGAGGCCAGCCCACTCCCGGTGCTGTGCAGTGGAGACTCTGAACCCTTGGCGGCTTCTCTTTCAGTGTCCCTGGAAAAGACACGGAGGGGAAGTTGCAAAGTTGAACTTTGCAACTTGTAACCTAATGAATTTATAACCAGAATTTACTCAAGAGAGACTTATACCTAACTCTCCTGCTTATCAAGTGTGATAACACCTTGCAGAGTTTGGAATCTTTTATCTGGCCTGTTTTCTCAAAAGCCCAAGATGTGGCAGTGAGACATGGGGCTGGAGATTTGAGCAGAGGGGAGAACGGAGCCTTTCCAGGACTCAGAGGTACATGTGAGGACCAGAGATTTCTAACAACAGGAACCCCTGGCTTGCCTTTGTTGAGGAGGAGGAGGAGGAGAAATGAGGGTCAAGGGGGCATACAATACATGAAAACGACAAGTGAAGCCCAAGATTAGAAAGAGTGAGTACTGGAAACCACAAGGTGGGAGGGGAGGTGTATTCACAGTGGGAGGAAGGGGCCTGGGCTTGATTTATTGACTTGAGTGTAAGCCTTTGAACGGACCGCGGTTACAGTGGCTGCTCTTCCATGGAGATGGGAGGAAGCTCTGTGCCCACCTCAACCACCCTACCCGGTGCCCTCCCCTCTCTGCCCCCAAACACGCTCAGGCAAGCGCAGCGCCACCCCTATCCTGGGGGAGTCTGGAGAACGCCTTGCAGAGACCTGGAACTAGAAACGGAGGGGGAGGGAGGACACTGGGGCTTTGGCCTCTCAGGACAACTGTGGAACAAAGAACCAGACGGAGGGAGACGAGGGGGACAGGGGACTTCCAGCAGAGCCACCCTGATGCCCCTCCCAGGCCCTCTAGACCCGCCACGCCAGCCAGCGTGTCCCCCCATCCCACAGAGCGTCCCCCTGGTCTGTGGTGAGTGAAAGTGAAGGGAAGAAAACTAATCATAATAATTTAGGGCAGGCAGTCTTCCTTGGCTGCGTCAGCTGGACGGATATAGAGCGATTCCATTTTTCCGAACCAATTTCGAGGTCAAAGATGAGCCCTGGAAGGGACAGAATGTCACCAGCAGGGCTTGACGCTTACTTCCGGCCCCAGCTTCTCCTCTCCCCTCCACCCCTCCACCCCCATCCTGGGGGCAGTCCTAGTCCTCCGCTGTCAGTCACTCTGCCTCTAGCCCTGCGCCGGCTTCTGGAAAGCAGTTCAGACGTCTGGAGCCTCCAGACAAAGCCCGCGGGCCGCTCGCAAGATGGCTGCGCCCTTCCGTGTCCCCAGCGTCCGCGTCCCCTCACGCCCGGCCCGCACCCCTGCCCTCGCACCTCCAACCCTGCGACAGCCCCTTCCTCAGGGCTTCCTTCACTCCCGGCCCTCTTTAAAGCTTCAGCTCAAATGCCACCCTCTGTGGAACCTTCCCTTAGTCTCACAGACCCGCGGCGACAGTCCCCTTGGGGTGGGGGGCGGGGAGGGCATGCGCCATGCTCTCCTCACTGGCCTGTTTCCATTTCTATTCACGCGATGTCCACCTGGGCCGGGAGCAGCGGGAGGGCGAACGCCGTCTCTCCTCACCTGCTGCAGGGGGGACGCTCTTGGAGTGAGGGAGTCAGCCAGTGAATGAATGAATGAATTAATTAATTAATTAATTAATTAATTAAACACACGAAGGAAGGGAGAGAGGGAGGAGGAAAGGAAGGGGGGAAAGGCCTCAGAGTCTAGCACACACGAGTAGGTGCATCCTCTTGGCCTGGGACTTTGCTTCCCTCTCTGCATCGCTAACAGGGAACCGGAAGTGCTCGTCCTCAGCCGGAAGCCACGCGCTTAGAGCTAGGGGACGACCCCCTGCGCCTGAGACACTGGTCACATGGACTGTCTCCCTCACCTCAGCCGAGGGATTATGTTTTGTTGGTCTTTACCCTTCCGCAGTGGAGCTTTTCCTTCCAGGGAGAGCGCTGCGTAGTCCAGACAGGGGCCCGGCCTGCCTGACCCGGGGGAGGCAGCGTGGAGTTTGTTGTATAGACAGACCCAGGGCGAGTAGACTCTCAGCCCTATGCCGGCTGTGTGAACTCGAGACAGAGTTCACCTTTCCAAACCTCTGTTCCCCAGTCTACTTGGTAAGAAGGTCCGATTAGCTGATTTCTAAAGAGATTTTGAGCAGGTGTTCAGTTCTAGGAAGGGCTGCGGGACAGCACGGCACCGCCGTGTCCTACAGATTGGGATCTTAGTACCCCAGGAGAAGGGAGGAATCTACTTTTGCCGCGCACCTGGGGATTTACCTTGGGAACAAATGGAAGTCAGGCCAAGATCCCAGGCGGAATGTGCCACATTTGGGGAGGTTTCAACTTCCCTTGCCCTCCAGGTGTGCACTTGGGAGGGAGAAGTGAGGAGAGGGAAGCAGAAAGGGGGAGGACAGCGAGCAAGGAGGGGGCAGGCAGGGGCCTGGGTTGAGCAGGTGTGAAGGGTGGGGTAGAAGAAGCAAGTGTGCAAACCAACCTCTTTAACATTCCCAAATTTCTAAGGAGCTTGCCCCTTCCTTCCGCAATTCCTTTTGTCTCTTCCCAACTCCCCCCTCATACAATGTGGTCTTTTCCCCACTCTAGAAATGAAAGGGAAGCAGGCTGCTAAACCCTTTGGATTATAAAAACCACTGGCTTCTCACAGCATTGCAGCGAACTCCTTTGTACTGAATGCCAGGATAAGCCACTGGCTGGGCCTCTGCTCTGACCCTCAGGCCTCTTTCTCAGCTCTGCCAGGGTGGGCTGGCCCATCTCTGCTGGATTCCTCAAGTGCATTGTGTAGGGACAGGAACCCAGGTCACGGCTAAAAGCTCAAAAGGACATGCGTGCATGCACACACGTGCACACACACGCACGCGCACAGCCTCCTTGGGCCGAGATAAGATCTGAGCATTCCCCTCTCCCCCTTCCCCAGGTCTGTGGGACACTAGAGCCTTCAGGGGCAAGGCTCAGATGACCTGCAGTGTCCCTCCATCTCTAGGATGACAGAGATCTCACCTCCCCGTCCTAGTGTTTACAGAACAAGAAGAAAGTAAAGGTAGCTGTGCAGAAAGCCCTCTCCACTGATGGCCCCAGGGGTGTGGGTTCTGCAAGGTGGGGCCAGCAGCCAGGCCCTCTCCCCATTGGCTGGGCTCAGCAGGTAACCTGAAGCTTTGCTGAGAGGTGCATAAATAAAGAGCTAAACTAGTACCACCTCCTTGAAATGCGCTGAGTCCCTCTTCCTTCCCTCACCCTTGCCTTGGAAAAACCAGTTTCTCTCTCTCTTTATTGTCTGTTACCAACCTCTGTTCTAACAATCCAGCTGAATCCTCAGCTGCACTCTATAAACTCTCTCCTTTCCAGCTACCTTCACTTACCTCTCCTTCAATCCCACTGTCCTCTGCTCTCATATTCTTTTTTATGAAAGAGAGAAATGGATGGTTCAGGACCTGCCCCCACCTTTCCGCAGGAACCACTTCTGTCCTGCACAGGTTTGCTTGGCCGTGCATTTATACAGTAAGTGCTTCTCGTCTCTTGTTCCCTATCCTCAAGCCGTAGGGGCAAAAGGACCTTCCAAGACTTGAAATTTCTTCCTTGCTCTCATGCGCTGAACTCTCTAGCCATCTCTTTGTTCTGCATTATCTTATGACAAAAGACCAGTCTATTATTTTGAACCAAACTCAAAGCTGAGCTCTGTTCTCTGAAGGCACAGACACTCATACTTACAGGTGAGTCTGAAATCTCTGGATTTGGGGGGGCTTTGGAAAACCAAAGCTGAGTTGCTAGATCAGGGGTCTCATTGGGCAGGGAGAGAAGAGTGGGAAGAGCCATATTCACTGGAAGTCAATCATCAACTTCCTCCTAGGTTAAAATAGCTAAACCTGCTGGTTTTCACCCAATCCCCAGCCACTTTTGTGTTTTCTTGAGGATTTCCAGCTATCTCAGGCAGTAAATCTCACTGATAATGGGAATTGGGGTGGTAAGGTGGCTGCCTAGCACTTAAGTACCAAGATTGCAGCTCTATGTAGTTTCATGGAGACTTACTCAACTAGAGGAACAGGCGGGTGATGGTTTCTCAGTCCCGGGGTGCAGGGTGCAGCTATATGGGGAAATACAGGTCTCGGTTCCATTCTTTGGTTCTCATGTTCAAGTTGGTTTTATTAGAAAGACGTTGGGGGCATAGTCCTGAGGGCAGCTGGGGCAGGAGAGCAGCCACTGGATGAACCTACTCTATAGCCAAGTGCAGGCATGGTTTGTTCTCTGACCAACTCTGACCCTACAGCAGCCAAGGTGAAGGCCATTGGAGGATTAAGCTGGCAAAGGCCTGGTGGGCAGAAGAATCTTGAACTCTGGGTCTAGAGTGAGTCGAGTCTCCTGATGCAGGTTCTGGCTCGTGCTTTTTTTGTCTCTGCCTTGTAGTAGCTGCTGTCTGCAGAGCAAGGGCAGAGTGGGACAGGAAGGGCCTGCTGCTTCCCATTTGCAAGTCTTCTACAGACATTTCCATCTCTCAAGTATCCACCCTGGAGGGTAAGGAACCTGAACTGGGGTGAGGCTCTCTCTGCACACTCCAGAGTGAGGAATTGAAGGATCTGGTGGAGCAGACACATTGGGAGGGTAAGAGTGGGGGAAAGAGTGTCTAAAAGGAGAAGATTTGACCCATTGGCTCTCCGAGTTGAGCTGTAATCTAAAAAGAAGGCAAAGAATCCTGCCATCTCAGCATGGTTTCCTCCCACCGTCTCCTGCCATCATTTATTTATCAGAGTCAACAGACTGGCCTCTTTCCTCCCTTTGACTGAGAAATGGGTCAAAGGCAGCACAGGAGGATTATGTAGTCTAGATGATTCACAAGCAGGGTGCATTTCTCTCTCAGTATTGAGAATTGTGTTCATAAAGCAGGCTGAGCAGGAGAGCATGGACTAGTCTTCTTCCCTTCATTACCCAGATCTCTGCCTCCCAACAAGCCTTGTGCTCCCCCTAACAAAGATCCCAAACCAAGAAAGGTGGGAGTCTTCCTTGGCACTAGCTAGAAACCCCTAAGCCCATGTTTAAGGGCTTTTACAGAGAGGCCCAGAGCCCAGGCAGCCGGATGCAGGGGGCGGAGCCCCACCGTGAGACACTGCCTCCCTGCATCGGGTCAGGACAAGCCCCAGGAAGAAAGTGTTCCAAACAACAAGGTGGACCTGCCCTAACCCACCCAGTCTGCGTGTTGGTGCTGAGAACAGCCTTTTATGGGGCTTACACTGAGCCACAGACATGTCTGAACACAGCAAGGAAGAGGCCAGAGCAGCAGCTATGCTGATGGGCATTTCTTTGAAGAGAGAGCAGCGAGTTCTCAGGTAGTTTTGCATCCTCCCTGTTTAGCTCAAGTTCCGCAAGCCATGTTATCTCTCCTTCTACCTCCCCTCATCCCCCAGCCCCGTGCTCCATAGAGAAGTTGCAGCATTTACAGGCAGATGTGGGACCTTGGGAGACTGGCCTTCCTAGATAAGTCTATAAGAGTGAGACCAAGGACTCTCACTTTCCTTGGTCCACTTGCCCTCATGAATGGGCCTGGCTCCAGCCAGGAGCGCTGGTCCTTCCTGAGCTCCTCACCCGCCTTTTCCTGATTTCACACCTGCAAAGCGCCGTTCCTGCTCCTTAGACAGTGCCTTTTGGAGAGAAATGCCTGTACGGCTGCATTCTACCACGTTGGCAAGCCAGCTCAGAGTAGCTGGTCTTTTCTAGAGCAATTACAGAACGCCTGCCTTCCCCCTACCTCCTCTAGACAGGGGCAACCACACCAAACACAGTTATGGCACATACAGTGGGACATAGTCGAAGGGAGAGGATGACCAGCATCCCAACTTGGTAATCACAGAGGAGGGTCCCCAGGGACTTGTCCATGACAGCCGCTTTGAGGGTGAGAAACAGCCAAGTGTTCCCAGCCCTGCAGACCCGTCTCCACCACTCAGCACTGCCCGTCCGTGCAGCGGGCAAGGCAGGGATGTCTTGATGAGCTGGCTCTCCGCAGCCTCTCTGGACAATGTGATCCTTGGGAAGGGGCCTGAGTACCCAGGTCGTTGACATCTCTCATGTTTGTGATGCCGAAGGGCTTTGGCCAGGCAATAACCCAGTGTGCAGGGTTATTGCCGGAGTTGGCATGCGTCCCTACCTCCTGAGAAAAAGACCCCCCAGACAATCCATGTGCTTCTCTTGTCCTTCATTCCACCGGAGTCTGTCTCATACCCAACCAGATTTCAGTGGAGTGAAGTTCAGGAGGCATGGAGCTGACAGCGACGGTGCTACTGCGGCGGCGGCAGCAGCCAGAGCCACTGTGACTTAGAAACAGAAACACCCAGGGAGAAACGTGGCCGGTGAGGGAGACACCTGGAGTGCACGTCCTTCCGCAGAGGGGACGGGCGATGGGCACGTTGGAAAAAGCATCGCAGATGGGAACCAGTCCGTCTCTCTTTTCTAAAATCAATGCTATGAAAATGTGCATTTTGTATATCTTGTAAAAATTAAAATTTGCCTGTATACTGAAAACCTCTGTGATTCATGCTGTTGGAAACCAACTCCTGGCCTTCTAAGCCAACCTCCCCTTTGGGCTAAAATTGAGATGTGAACTTGAAGAATCCGACACTGGCTTCCTCTCTCCTTGGGGTCCCTGGGCAGGTGGCTGGGACTCTATCTGCCATCAGCAAGGAACCCTGTCACCCTCAGACTTCCCACAGAGCAAGCAGCTCCTGCAGAATGGGGTAACAAACTCTATTAAGATTTTTTATATTGTAATAAAATA